TATTATTTTTTTCATTTAATATTTATTTTGGGATTCAATGAATTTTGACTGTTCGTATTATGGTAATTAACACTCCTATTTCCAACTAGACTTACAATTCGATACTCATTATTAAATTGTAAGTTATTATTAGCAAGAAAAAATCAACAATCTTTACATCTTCCATTTGGGTAATAGTGATGATTTTTCATAATCATAGTTACTATGAATTTTTAATAATTAGTCATAATGATTTTCCATTACACATTTAATATATTTGAATTCTTTTACATATTTTATCCTTAGATTACAGTTTTATTTCTACATTACATTTAAATGTTATAAATTGTTTAATAAATTAAATATTAAATAGTAAATCATCATATTAGTATACATAAATTACCACCAACTCTTCATTATGTAAATGTATGCAACTCCCACTAATTATATTCATTATGTTTTTTACTCTCATCTCTCATTGATAATCTCAAATGGATTAATATCATATTTATGAAAACTCTTTGTGTTCCTCAATGCTATCCTATAAATAGTGACATTTGACACAACAATGTACACAATTAAACCAACTGGGAAAAAAAACATGAAAAAATCTCTATGCTCTCTTCTCTCGTCTCTTTTGATTTGTTTAGTTTAACATTTCTGTTTCTTGTTTGTTGTTATTGTACAAACAAGAAACATAAATGTTTGTTGTTTTCTATTGTTGCTTTGTATACATTAGCCTAGCATATGGTATTTTAGTATCCTCATTTGAATATTGAATTTGTGCAATAGCTAATTATTTTTACTTTATGCACTCTTTTAGTCAATTTTACAGTTAAAGGTATATTCTTTTTATTAGGAAGATATATGTAGTTCCTATTGAGACAATGATGGATTTTTTTCATAAATACCAAAGATTTGAAGGGGATAAAATATGTCATTTGCAATACAAAATTTATATGGAGTATTTTGGGATAAACGCGAAGCCAATGCAGAGAAACAATTCTTTACTCTTCCTTCAGTTGTAGAAATGCTAGTGAAGATGACAAACTCACCTTAAGATGACTATTTTCATCAAATGCTGTTGAGTAATTAATAAAGAGTTGTACTTTGCCAACAAGCTCGTGTTCTGGTTCACGATAGATGGACCACCACCGAAGTTTCTCACCCTGAATGGAACTTAACTTTAAGAATCATGAGCTAACTGAAGCAATAATTCTAGTTGATAACTAAGTTGAATTCAGACACGTTTACCGGTTCTTCAGCAATGGTGGCAACTTGAGCAAGGACACGACCATAATGCTTTCCGTTGGAATCCAGTACCTCAACAATTAGATCATCTCCAAGATTATCTGGAAAACTGTAAAGATGTTCACATAAAAAACAACATACCCAGTGAAATCCCCAAGTGGGGTGTGGGGAGGGAAGAGTGTAAGCAGGCCTTACCCCTACTCGTGGAGGTAGAGAGGGTACAGTGTTCACATTACAATCCAAAAATTATAGCAGTTATTCAGAGACAAAATATGCATTTAACAGAATTCTATCGAAAGAAAATAGGATGACGGACGAAGAAAAGCTTACAAAATGTGGGTTTCGCCTGATCCGGGTTGCATTTTAATAGCATCCTCTTCCATTGAACTTTTTAGTCGTAAGAAACAATGGTATGTCTCTGATCACATATTAGGTTTCATGGGTGAGATAACATATAGTAAATAGAATCATTATATTACATAAGTTTTAGTAAAAATAAAGCGCCTCTATGGTCACAGAATTTGTGCCACTTATGCCCTTGTAAAGTGAGAAGCATGAAAAGCAAATGAGGGTTAAAGAAAGATCAAGAACATACAATTTTCTCATAAGACCAATTATTTTAAACCCACTGTTTACTGAGAACAGTGTAACAACTTGAACTGCGCTTAATCTCGATTTTGCATTTTTAGTTTTGTTAGCTTGTTAAGATCAATAACATTGTAAGATATCTGCAGGCAAGCTGGCCAGGACACCATGGTTAAATAGAATCAGAAACCATCTCCCATTAAATTTTGCATCGCAGGAGTGTATCTCAGAAATGGCAGCTATTTTGAACATCACGGGGTTTCAGTGGGTTATGTGAGACAGTTCCTACTCCCTACAACCTTCTAAGCTATTGTAGCAGCCCAGAAATGAACAAGAAAATAAGCAAAGTGGTGGAATACCATTCTTACTAGCGTTTTGTAGACAATATGGGAAGAGAGAACTCAAGATTGTTTGAAGACAAAAACTGCTCCACCAGAAGATCAAAATGTTCTGCTATAACCATTTTGGTGTAAAAGAAGAATATGTAAATGATGAGGTAAGTATGATAGGTTTCATAGAGAGGTCCTACAGGGGAATGACAGGGATACACGTTTTTTTTTTTTAGGGTTCAAGAATTCTTGTGCAGTCAGGGCTACTGATGTAAATACTATTGCAGCAGTTACTTAGTGCTCTTTTAATACAATTATAACCTCCTTAAAAAAAAGCATATCAACCTAAAGAATTCATTTATATGGTAAAAGCAGACTAATCACAGAATAAACAGAAGAATTTAGTCAACTTGGATTAATAATGTTAAACAAGAATGAATCTCTCTCACATACTACAAAAGTCTATGAATGTATATCTGGTGCTTGATAATTGGGGATTAACATGTCCATATTGTAAGTGAACAACTATTTACAATGGACGGATTGTTGATAATTTATCAAGGAGATAAATAAGGATGTTGAGATAATTTTGTTCAGGAACAGCTGAAACTAAAATGATTAGAACAATAAGTTTTTACTGTACCTCAAATGGGTTAAAAGTGACACGCAACTACAGGATGAGTGATACCTAAACTAACAATACAAGAATCAACATTCAAGAGAAATGAACTTCTTTACCTTGAACAACATCATAAGACGATGGACTGCTGCGGAGAGATGTCACACCAATTTTCAGGAGTCCAGAAACTTGCTTTATATATTGGGTGCTCGCCTGCATGTATGCCAAACTCTGGCGCGAGAAGGAACCATTTGCAGGCACACGAGGAGCAAAATGGACTTTGCGCATCGCTCGCCATCCGGAAGAGATTGATGACCGCATATTGGATAGGTGATATCTAACAGATTCAATCTTTATTTTTGGTGTTCTTAGGGAAGAAAAACTGCAGCCGGTGGGTGGGTCCAGGCCCATCTTAACCTTCCTAACTGCAAAATCAGAAAAAGGTCAACAACAGAATCTTCAGTAGTATTACCCTGAAATATTACAAGTAAATACCATGGATTACCTTGGATCTTCATCTTTCCAACCATTTGCTTAGGTTTTGGGGCAGCTGCTTCCTTAGGAAGCTCGGAAGAGCGGTTTGCCATTAATTCCTCCTCTGATTGTAACAGAACTTGCTGTAACCTGTAAATCCATATAGGAGACGAAAGTTGAACACAGCTATAAATCATCTCAGTGATTGTTATAGACTTCTTCCCAAAATGACACTAAAACCAGAAAAGATCATAGCAACTGCTCAATAGCGTGGAACAGGAGAAAAAAACTGACCTAAATGAATTCCTTAAGAGAGCACATTCACTTTCCAAAAACATCGGAGCTTCTATGCAACCCCTAGCCCAAGAATGCAAGCAGAGCCGAACACATGCATCATAGGCGAGCACGCGATGCCATGGGCCCAATGCACTATATTGGATAGAAAATCATCACTGATAGTACTGGAAAAGTAACTGTACATTGTAAATTTGTTTTGTGTTAACAGTAAAGGTACCTGGCATGAAAAGTTGGAAGGCGAGCGGGATAAGAACCCAATGGCCCTCCACTTTCTGCAGCAGCAGCAGTCGTCCTGAAAAACAGGTGTAAGCAGATATAAGCTGAAATTCAGGAAGTATTGTTCTTTCAAAGAAGAAAGGCACTATGGCCAGCGGAAAAGATAAAGCTTTAGGTTTTGTAACTGGTTCGTGAACAAACCTCACAGGTGAGTCGGAATGATTTGGAACTTTGACCTGGGGGTTTATGCCAGAAGAAATGTTACTATCTGCCTTTGCTGAGAGACCACAATCTTCTGCCATAGATGATTGCACATTAGCTGTTCTAGAGGCAGGGATCCATTCATCAACTTCTTTGATTTCAGCAGCAGAACTGCAAAATGGAGGTGCACTGGGGACATCGTCATCAGTGACCTTCTTCTGTAAATTCCCAGAGGTCATATCCTGAAAGTGATTGAATTAGCTTCACCAGAGAGTGTCTATGTTCTCTAGAAGATATGAGGAACCACGTAAGTACATGAGAAAAAATCCATTGCACAAGTAGAACAATTTAAATTCAACTCGGAAACAATCGGCAAAGTGGAAAAGGAAAACGTAGCCGTCAATAATAGCTAATCAGACTTGGTGATCATTTATAGTACAGTAATATTATCATAACCTCTTGGTGAAGGAGGAATCGAACAATTCACAGTTATCAGTTTGAAAGGTGTGCTCTTTTACTTGTCTAGCAACACCTGACAGCTCAAAATTTGAGAATAAAAAGGATTACATATGTCGACTGGGCTTCATTTGAAGATGTGACCACCTCCTTTTACATTGTCAGGTGACAACTCGCTCGTGCTGTGAGATTTTGAGATGGTTCAGGCTGCAAAGGACAATGCCCAGCACAGTAAGGAGGCTCATAAGAAGGAAGAGAAGTTGAAGAGCGAGGGATGTCTCACCCTTGGCACTCATGTGAGTCCATGAGAGAAAAGAAATAGGAGAGCTTTAGTAGGTGTAGAGAACAACTACGTATGTTTAAGGAATTACCTATCATTCCTAACTTCTTTTTGGTGCAACCACAAAATTCTTGTTTGTATAGAAGACTGGGTGTCGTTCCGATCATATTATATTGTAGATTCTCTACTATTTGGTATACTGCTTGTACACAGATGATTTTTCCAATATATTAATATAATTATCAACTTCATCTAAAAATGATAACACATTCATGCATAAAATGTTTGAACTTTTTGTCCCCACAATTTTTCATCTTCAAGATAATGTTCGAACGTAAAAGGCATTCATAACCATTGGTATTACATAATCTGTTCACCAGCAAATCATAGAACAAGGTCAATTGAAAACTTCGCAATGTAAACTCAGAACTACAATTCTGCCTAGTTGAGGAACTCCAAGTCATAAACACACGACACAGTTATTTTCTCAGATAGACAATGATTCCTTATAGTAAATAGTTGAATAATTCCTTATCAAAAAAAAAATAGTCACATAATCTCTCTTTTTATATAACCATGGTGCCCCGGACAGTTTGCATGCACCTCGACTAAGACAAATGAGAAGAAATCACCTAGTATTTTTGTCTCTAAAGGGATTTGAACTTGAGACCTCAAGGTTTTTTAACCCACTTCAATGGCCACTAGGTCACATCCTTTATTGCTAAATAGGCACATAGTCTTAAGTCGTGGAAGATGAAAAATTAAGATTCATATTTCTTAGAAATGGCAATGCACAGAATCTAAAGTAAGAGTGCGGACGAAGACATCACACAAGAGCACATTCAAGAAACCTTATGACAACCATTAGCGAGGAGCATCAGATATTCCTTAAAGGATATCTATGAATGACTGCTTCAATCATGAATAAAAACACTGTAGCACTATTCAATATAACCAAATTCTAAAGCTAATTCCATTTTCGAAGAATACATTAGTTTAACAATTGGTAACTCAATTTAAACATAGCTAAAACAAGTTAATACCTTCTGAGTCTTGTTTCCTGTATTCAATTTAGATGGAATGCTGGAAGCATACCCTTCAGATGCATAATTTGTTGATCGTGGAACAGTTCCATTCTTTGTCCCAACTTGGGTGGAAGAGAACTCAGAGCTTGCAGCAGAATCAGAAGATTCCTCCTCAGTATACACACTACTTCCAATTGGGTATCTATTAGCTCCTCTCATCAATCTATCGACCACGTGTCCACGACCTCTCCCCAACGTCTCCATCGACGAACTAACATCATCAGAGTACATACTGTCACTTGCATACTGTGTAGCACCGCGCCTAGGTGGGAGATTGTAGTATCTCTGAGTGGCTGCAGTAGTGCTAGGAACTCTGTCATCATGTGGTGATGAATCCAATGAGTATCTCCCCCCATAAACCTCCTCTTCCGAGTCAGTGATCATGTCATTATCAGAAACCGACGCACTATCATCTAAATCCGCAGGTATAACTCTAGATACAGGAATAACCCCCGACAGATGACCACTCCGGAATTTCGAAGGCGGTGGAAGCCCAACATTGCGACCCCCATTTCTCATACTCCCAATTGGATCAATCCTTGATCCTTGGCTTGAAATTGAGAAAGGAACCTCCTTAGTCTGCTGCCCAGAACCCTGATTTTCAAATGACAGCAACAAAAATCAAGAATCAAATCACTTCATAAGCATCACATCATTTGCTGAATTTCAAATTTCAAAAATCAAAAAATCAAAATCCCTCCTACAACAGGACAAAGAAAATCTGACATCATAAACTTCAAAATTCAAACTTTCAAGAATATGGGGAAACCCCACTTAGTTAAAAGTCCTAATAAAACAAAAAAACACAAACCCATATAGAATCAAAAGACAAAATTACAGAAAGGATAAATAAAATTGAGAAATGATACCTCTCTAACCCACTTTAGGGCGTTATTATCAAGACCCTCAGTGAACATCTGCTTCTGTAATCAAAATAAAAGAAGAATCCCAAATAAGAGAAAATCACAATGCATCAGTTAACTAAAAACAAAACAAACAAAAAAGACTTGACAAGTATAGTACCACTGTACCAGTGAACAAAACGATGTCGTTTCTAATGAAGCACGAACAGTGTTACTTCATCACTGGGTTGGTTCAAATTAAAAAAAGAACCTTTTTTTATTATTATTTCTTTGTGGGTTTTGCGTGAAGAAAAACAGAAATGGCAGAAGAAGAGGAAATTGTTAGCCGAAAAGTACTGAGCACGTACAAATGGTGAAGAAAAACGGAAACGGGGTAGGGGGGTTGGAGGGGGGTGGGGTAGAACGACAACAAAAAGAGGAGTCGAACGTTGTAATGTGAACAACCTTTACTGCTCTGTTTTTTTTTACTCTCTCTCTCTATGTTTTTCCCGCTTGCTTAAACGATGAAGAAAGAGAAACACTCACATGGGGGTAGTGGGTGGAGGGGCCCACAAATCTTAGTTGTTTTTTTTTTTTTGAAAATTTCTAAATTTAGATAATTTTATTAAGGTTTCATTTTCCATATTTGCCCTCCTTGAAAATTGAAATTTGTAAATTTGTTCTTGTTCACTTCTCATTGATGAATCTTATCAAAAAAGAAATAGTCCAAAATTTATATTTTTTTTTAGTAATTTGAGTTGTATTAAAATTAAATTCAAATTTGTATGTCGTTCAAGTTACATATATACATATGGAGTTGAAATTACGGAATTACTTGTGTAATTTAAATATCAGATAGTAAAAATAATGAAACAATTTACGATCTATATATAATTTAGATAGCATGGTGGAAATTGGCCACCACCACATGAAGGTTCTACCTTTAAAAGGAAAGTATCCTTATTTGAGATTTCTCTAGGTTTGAAATTTGAAATTGAGAATTATGATTATTATAAGAATATTTCATCCATCTCATTATACTCAATGGGTAATTGTATGAATTTGTTATGAAAAATACTATTAGAAAAATATGAAATTCATCATATTTGATTTATCACACATCTTTTTATATCGTTTATTAAAACAAAACAAAAATGAGAGATGGAAAAGAGGAAAGATATTGTGAGAGCTAATAGACTATTTATATTAGATTAACTACAAGTCAATTATCGCAATAATTAATTACATACTTGTTTAGAAAAAAGAAATAAAAAATAAAAAACAATTATTTCAAAATGTCATCAAAACATGAATCAATTCTTAATGTCTTTTTTATTTTTTATAATTGAAAAATTTACACTTATAAAACTACATGAATGTGTAATAATGTTTGCTTTAAATAAAGAGCTCATCGGTTACACCAAACTTTATCATGCTTGTTACATTTTGTAACTATATATTATAATTTATAACATATCATCAATAAAATAGTTGTAGAAATTTTTGAATTTTCATGGAATAAGGGCAATTTGGGTAATTCAATATCCAACGGTACTTTTGTTACAAACAAACCTTATGGAAGAAACAAAAAATTCAATAAAGAATAACGAGAGAGAATATTGGTTAACAGTATATAATATGAGACAAAAACTAATAATTGAATTTACAGTAAAAATATTTTAAATTTAAATAACAACATGGAGTATTTTCAAATTAAATATAAAAGGAAGTAGAAGGTTCAATTTTAAAGTAATTTGTCGTCAAGATGATGGATTTTGACACAATAATGAGAAAAATAACAACATTATAAAATATGTCTCTGTTAATGACACATGAAATTAAATTAATAACTGGTAGTATTATATAAAATTTCAATAATTGAGGTAAATTAATGATGTAGTAGCAATATGAAATGCAATAGTCGAAATATACACACATAAAATTAACATGGACTTCACGCTAATTTGCACATATTTTTATCAAGTATTTGTTAATTTTCATCATCGTAGATATAGAGTGATTTTATACATCAAAACTTAGACGAATGAAGTAACTCACCAAATAAAAAAAAATTATGTGTTAGGATTTGAAATTAATCTCCCTTATATTTATAATCGTTAAGCCGTGTAAGTGCACACAAAAATACTAATGGACAAATAATTTTTAACACATGAAATAAAAGTTATTTTTAATTTACATGTTATTTTTAATATTATTTTGTTATGAATTACTTGAGTCGAGGATCTTTCGAAAACAACTTCTTTATCTCAATAGGTTAGAGATAAAATTTGTGCAGCACCTTAATCTCTTCAGACGCCACCTAGTGAGATTACACTAGATATATTATTATGTTGTTTACATCGAGTATATTTCATGAAAATATCAAGTAATTAGAATTCAAAATATCACACATTGATTAATCAAATACAGGTTCAATAACCAAAAAAAAAATCCAAATCAGATCGATTCACGAAATGCATTTCTGGATATTTTCAATGTCCCAGTCACTTATGAAATGTAAGATATATTTAATTAAACTCAACAAGATTCATTCGTCTTTTCTTTCTAATAAATGATCAAAACTTCATTATGTCACCGAAAAATCAATAAAAATATCAAGCTAAGTCTAAGGACTTAACTAACCTACTAGTAACTTCTTCTTTTTTCTTAATCATTTATTTAAAGCTTGGTGGCTTAATTATAGTAGTAGTCTATTCTACTAGTACTTGGCATTATAGTGTTGACCACTTTGACATTAAACAAAATCAATGAAGAATCAACTTTAATTTGAATTTCGAAGAGGATTTAATTTATTAGTGGGACCATAACTTTGATTTTGTTTTTTATTAATTCAAACCATAAAGTATATACCCTACATAAAAAGGTTTATAACATAAACAAAATCAATCATTAATCTTTTCCCATGATACAAACTCCTTTGTTGGTGTTTTTGAAGTACGAGGAACTATCATCTTTGTTTATCCAACTTTAACGTTATTTTGTTTTGCTCTTTGTAACCTTTTTAAACATAATCAACATTAAAGTAATGAATATTCAAATAATCCGTAGTAATTAAAGGGTACTGGAATTCTAATTAGTGATAATGACATACCAACATAATCAAAATTGCAAATTGTCTGTCAATTTGGCATAAAAAGGCCATTGTTTCAATTTGATTAGGTTGAATTCATCGACAGACATTTAAAGTTGACACTATTTTTTACACCTACAGTAGAGTAAATGGTACAATCGATCCTACTACAAGTGTTTAAATAGTACAAGTCTCAACTGAAGTGTCTAAGTGAAAAATGATGTCAATTTTAGGTGTCGGTCGTCTATTGCCCCAAAGGAGCCTAAAACTTCTGTGTTTAAATTAAAGCTTCCTTAATCATTTCTCCAACATGAATAGAAACAGTTAATCAAGTAGCATTACCCAACCGATGAGAGGTATAGTGGAATGTCACTAATCCATGATCTTTTAATTAGAAGTTTCGAGTTCAAAATACAAATATTAGAAAACTTTTCGAGAAAAGAGTGCAATACCTCCTTTTTAAAAGGCATTTGTATTACGAATTCAAATTAATCGAGAAAAGAGTGCAATACCTTTTTTTTAGTAGGCATTGGTATTACGAATTCAAATTAATCGAGAAAAGAGTGCTACACCTCCTTTTTAGAAGGCATTTGTATTACAAATTCAAATTAATCGAGTAAGTACATTTCAAATTATCAAGAGAAAAGAGATCATGCCCCTATACTTATTGCCTATAAGTATCTGTTTAAACTGGATTTGATCTCTACAAGTAATTGATATTGTGATTTAACTTGGTAGTTAGGCGACTACCAGTATAGAGAAAGAAACATTCAATCACACTATCGATCCAACTTGTTGATGGAAGCTACGTTGTTTGGACTGTTCAAAAATGTCACCAGAAGTGTGTCCGATCCTCCAAATATAGTGCAGTTTTGGAAGATCTGACACAGATGCAACAACATTTTTAGAGAGTCCGAGCAAACTAGGATGGAAGTACCAAGTTACATCACAGTATCAATAACTTTTAGAAGTGTAATTTTCAAGGATACCGACTTCAACTTACTTGCAATTGACTACTTGTGGGTCAACTACTTTCCTAGTTGAGTAAATTTCACAGCATTGCAAGATATTTATTATTTCTCTTTACTTGTTTGGTTGGAGTTGTGGGTCCTTTTCTAACAAATATTTGGTGACCCAGGGAAGAAATTCAGGACAATATGGTCTCTTTCTCTTGCAGGTGCAGCCAAAAAGCACAAATCAAAGTGGAATAGACCAACTCACTGGTCCCTGGTACCAACCCACAGTATTGAAATGGACTCAAATATATGTGATCTGTGAAAGAATCTGAGCGTCCAACCCAAAACGTTAAGCCAATGGGGTGGGGTCTCCCCTTTGGAGAACCTTACACAATCGATGAAGGACAAGTGTAGTATTATTTAACGGGACTGGACCACGAGATAATATATCTCTATGAAGATTCCACCTCTTACAGACCAACTATTCTTTCTGCACCAAGTTTCAGGCCAAGATCACAACGGTATCAATAGAATGTCAAGTTTCACAATGTATCATCAGAAATTGGTTGGTTTTACTTGTAGTATGTATGTCCAATCAATAAGAAAAAAAGAGGGTGAAGAAAAGCATATTATAAACAGCTGCAATGTCTACAAACTCAAGCTTTCTGAAATTTATTTGATCATGGGGAAGCAATATGCTCTCTGATACAGCTAATAGATGTGAACATGGTGCTTTGAAAAGAAAAAAATGGATTTTTAAGTTCGGAATCCCCAATAATCAGCCACCATAAGGCCGGACCCTATCTTGGGCACATATGTATTTCTCGGATGTATGCAGAAACATCAGAATGTTCAATGCAAGATCTAGGCATATAACTCGTCAACATTACACTCGCCCAGATAAACTCTTATGCTCTGAGGAGTACCACAATTACCTTCGGCAATAAGAGCTCTGTCATTAGCAGCCATGTGTGCAATAATCTTATAGATCATTTCAATCTGCCAAATGGCAAAAAGGGTAGTCAGCAATTTGCAACCTTTGTATGTGTAAATAAAGAAAAAATGAAGAAAGCCATATAGAGATGGATCATACATCGTCTTCACAATGGCAACGTTCAGCTATTTCATCCAGAGTAAGTGGTTCAACAGGCTGTTTACAGCTGGAGAAAGAAAATAACATAGTTACTAGCTGTCGTCTCACCAAAGAGAGAACTTGAAGGAAAAGAATTTGCATCAGTATTTTTCAACCCAAGCAAGAATAATGAGAACCAAGATCCCATCGACATACCTGGCCTCATTAAGTACTTGAAGGACACGCTTTTGAAGCGCAAGAACTTCTCCAGCAGCTTTTTTCCCAGCTTCCACACCTGACACCATAATAGATGTTAGTTGGCCTTGCGTGAATAGGACATAATTAACTTCAATTGAATTAGCAAAGAG